TATATATATATATATATATATATATATATATATATATATATATATATATATATATACACACACACACACACACACACCACACACCCACACACACATATATATATATAAAATTCAAGTACAATAACGAAATAGAAATATATATCGAATTTTTGTCATTTTATCTTATTTTCCTGCATTCTATAAACAAGAGTGTCGAATCGTAATCTATCGAAACACGTGCGTTTTATCGAATCCACGTCTTTTTACAAAATTGTACTAAACGTGTATATATCATTGGTGCGTCGACTGCTCCGTTGATTTCGATGAAAAGAAAACGTTCGATAGAATTTAACTAAAATACTGCAAGTAAACAAGCAATTTCTAGCGTGTATCTTTTTCCTCTCGTTTTGTTGCAACTCTACTGACGCTATGTTTCATTTCATTGACACAATCAGTTATGTTCTGTACGCAAATAAATCAAGTGCGTATCGTAGTGCCGGTGGTCTCATTGATGTTTCATCATAGCAGTCAACGTGCTTTAAAATTCAAAATGATAAATTTCATTCAATTAACGCGGATACTCGCGGACAGAAAGAAATTGCGAACGAGAGAGGAAGAGAGAACGGATTTTTAATCTACCCTCTTTAAAACGAATACAAAAAAATGTACAAGAAATGTGACTCGCGTTATAATCACGCGTAAATATGTATGTTGAGTATGTGACGATCTCGACGAAAATGCATTACAGAAATGTTACGCATACAGTGCACATAAAATCATCATATTTTCGATTCTAATTACGTATATTAAATGTAAAGAGTCTGTTTCAAATAATCTGTTTTAAAGAAATATACAAAACTATAGTATATTGCTAAAACTGTGCAATGTAAATGAAAAATCTGTGCTTGTAAATGAAAAATCCGAGATAAAATCGTTATTAAAAAAAAAAAAGAAAAGAGAGAGGAGAAGATCAAAGATACACGTGCTCTTGGGTTTCTTTTGTAATCAAACGATGCGTACGATAACGACCAATTGTCCTCCGCGACCAAAGATATTAAAAAATATATATTAAAATATTTTGAAATAGATATTAAAAAAAAAAATATATATATATATATATATGAAAATAAAAAGCACTTGCCGACAAAGAAAAAGAAGAAAAGTCACTTTCAAAAGTACTACAATTGATCTAAAGTAGCTTCTGCGAATTTACGCAAAAACCAAGTTTTCGAAGAAGAAGCGCACACGCACAACAGATAATTCCCAATCTAGCGCATGTTAAAAAGCGCAAAAAGCCAAGAATATGAAACCTTTGGTAAAATGACAAATACTACGGGATATTAATACTTTATACTGTCGCGTTTATCAAACATTACAGAATCGATGCAAAATTACAACTGACTTTCTATATACATGACATAATAATACAATACGTAGAGTGTCCCTGTTTTACTATCTATATTATTTATATACATAGCAAATTTTATATATATATATATATATATATATATATGTGTGTGTGTGTGTGTGTGTGTGTGTGTGTGCGCGCGTGTATATATATATATATATATATGTATGTATATATGTATGTATATTACGTATATACATGTGTCTCATAAAGGACGCAACAGTAAAGCTAGAAACACACTCAGCTTCACGCCACACCTCGTTAACTAAAAATCGATGCATACTTGTTTCATACAAAGGCATAGCGCGCGCGTCCTACTACAGCCGGATCCTGCAAACTATTCCTAAATTATCCGTACGTGCTATGCCATCGTATGGAACAAATGCGCACTGATCCTCCTCCACAGTGTATCCGAATTGGTTAATTTCGCACCGATTAACCAACGTGGATCAATTTCTCCTTGTGTAGAAAACACAGCTTTAACTATCTCTGAATAACGGCTCCGAGTAGCCAAATAAATGTACAGTTTCGATGTTTCTCTGAATGATACTTTCTCACTTTTGTATAAGAAACGTTGCAATTTTATGCGCACCACTTGTCATTTCGTCTACGTTTCTTGCTTGTCACACAAGGATATATGACTTCCACAACTTGTTTGATCTAGATTTTACTCCCCGAATATGCTTGTACATTTGTCTTGTCCTCGAAAAGTCTCAATCGAAATCAAACAATACAAAGTGTAGGCGTGTTGTTGTTACAACGTATAATAATGGCGTGGAAATCATGTGTTCACGTAAGCGAATAGACGATGAATAAATCCATATTTTTCTTTGTAAAGGCTTCATCATGATGTATTTTAATAAGAGCGCCGCGTGCGCGCACGTACGTGTGTGTATATGTGTGTAGGCGGATGCTGCATGTGTACATGTGCACGAACGTGTTCACTTTCGAACTTGACAATCTAATTTGCATGTGTACGTATCAAAAATCATATATACAAATTCATCTGACATTTACATTCTTTAAAACTTCTGTAGAATCTAATTCCTTATCTAATATAACACGAAGATATAATATCGAAAAAATAAAAATTCTGGAACATCAGAATTGACTCAAAACTATATTTATGATTGCTGTTGATTCAAAAGTGCGAATAATATCGAATGATATAATATAGATTTTTTACTTGTTCCACGAAAGATCATTTTCTTATGTTTCGCGTCACTTGTTAAATATTTCTCTAAGTCTTTTAGAGATTATGTAAGATATATTTATCCAAGTAGTCTTATATATTTCAGAGAAAATGGGCTTCTACGATTGACAATGCACGCGACAACGATACTATATAACATTTTAAAAATATTACCGATGTTTCTATAACCGCGATAATTTATTGCACCCTCATCGAGTCATCTATCCTTTTTAATGTAAGGATCGCATTGAATTGGGACATACAAGTTTACCATCTACTTTTGTTACCTGAAATTTAACTCGGCAAAAGCCCTTTATTCCCTATCCTTGTCATCGTTAACTCGAAAATTCTAGATATCTTGACATTTTTTTGACAGGAAAATCGATTCCATATCGCGGACAAAGCTAAAGAAAGAAAGAGAGAAAGAAAAAGTAGCGAGTCTTGTTTTGATAGGTCCTCTATCAAAATCCTCTACTACTGATAGTTGTCGATGCTTGTTTATTAAGTGTGTGTAAAACTAGTTGAATTATTCAATTACTATACATATTACAATAAAGAACACGACAAAAGAATAATATAAATGGTACATATTATCAGGACACCTAAAAAATTTGCTTCAACATCAAGATTGAATATAAAATCAATACCCAAACTTTAAAAATATTTAATACGTGAATAAAATATTATTAATAAAAGGCACATTTTTCCCGAAATATATAATTAGTTGGATAAATATATACACATTTGGTATGTGAAAAAAGGCATCCGAGATAAACTGTATCATTTTAATACTACTTTACATTCGTTATGGCACCATATTCTCGGATAATTTTGCGAAATATTAGTCAGTTCTCTGTTTCTGTTTTATACTACTTTTACCAGTATTTTACGACAATACGTATAGACATTATTACGTTGCTCCATAAAAATACTGCTTTCTGATAACATTCGTTAAACGAATGCATAACAATGGACGAAACGAATATAGAATATGTATGTGTATGTGTGTGTGTGTGTGTGCGTGTGTGTGCGCGCGCGCGCGTGCGTGCGTGCGCGTGTATGTGTGTACACACACACACACACACACACACACACACACACACATACACACACTCATGAAATTTTCCTTATGTTTATTCAAATTATGTCACCGATATTCTTTCTCGAAAAGAAGAATTAATTTTCCGAATACTATATAGAAAACCAAAACAGAAGTTGATATATGAAACCTTTTGAAGGTTCCGTATATATTTAAATATTAAAAATTGTGTATTGTAAAATGTAAGAATAATAGATACAGAGCGAAATACATTTCAATTACAATAAAATTAATTCATTCACGTGTTTTGTGTGTCGCGTTTAATATATTCAGTATCAACCGTATTTAATATATAGTATCAACTGTAAAGATATAACATGGAAAAAATAAAAGTAGAAATAGAAATAAAAATTAAAAATAAATTAATCAACAGAGAAAAAATCGTGTTTACGATAATAATATATAATTATTTTTAATTATATTAATTTTAAACATATTTATCTGATCAACGAAGAAGCAGTGCAGAATTTTCAATATTACTTCTCAGTGCTTCATAACTTTTATATGCGCTTATTCACGTGTGTTTTACACAATATAAAATTAAATAATAATAACAATAATGGACAATTTGGAAAATGCGTTATATAGTAACGCACTAGAAAATTTCATGTAATTTGCAGTATACCATACATAGGTGATACGAACAAAAGGAGCCTTGTGAGTCTTTTGCAAGTTTCCCCAATCATTATGAAATATTCAAAGTATATAGATTTTGCTGTTTAAAACTTGAAAGGACTTAGACCGGACTGATCGTACAGAAATTTAACAACTGATGGTATACGGAATCAATCAGAATACGTCCGACTGACTCACGTAAAGCATAAATAATCCTGTAGATTATTCGCATTCGTATGACTGTCCTACTACGTGGAGAAGAATATTCGCGCCGATATATTATAGATCATGATCTCCTCCGCATATATAAATCGCGTTCCCACTTTGTGACGAAAGATTGGTTTCCTTTAGAGGAGATCAATTTTCCGCGGAAGCGTCGATATTCCCTGTCACAATTAAATTCTACTTTTGGTAGAACCAAATACTATCGAATCTCCGTTTCTTAGGACATTGGACTAGTTGTACGCCAAATAAAAAGGACAAAACGTACAACTCTAATCACAGATGTCAATTACGAATCGCGAATGAATGTTAACTCAAACACTGGCAATGATTATGAAAAGGGATGTGGATCCTATACCTTCTTGCTAATGTCAGTGTTCTTGCGTTTTCTGCCCCTCCCCCCCCTTGCTGCCTGGTCGCTACTCACAGGATGATTGGTCGTCGGCTCACTCTCTGTTAAGGCAGGAGTATCTTTTGGACTAGTCTGACCAGTTGATGCGGAATACTTCTCAACATACGTCGTCCATTTTTCAGAGTCTGTGACGCCTTCCCTTTCTCTCTCTCTAGAGCCGCTATCTATCGTTTCGTCGCCCTCTGTATCTAGTAACTCTATCGTCATTTTACAGTCTTTCTTGTACTGTAATAAAAAAAACAAAAACAAGACGTGATGATGAGCGATTGGAATCGTAACACACAGAGATTAAATTGATTTGTAAAATACATCAATGACATCAATGATCGGTAAATTAAAATCAAGCATCATCCCGTACAAACGAAACATTCAAGAAGATTAAAGAGAGAACCAGTGCGGGGAGAAATGGCTCATTTTGAGAAAGACTGCATAAACTATCAAAACAGATGTAAATTAGTAGGCATAGATTTCTTTTTTTTCGTCGTTATCCCATCATTGTGTGCGACATTAATTTCCCATTAATTTCCTACGTGAATTCTATTAATCTCACTCAAAGATTCTACCGCTACAGGAAAGTACGTATGGTCAGACGAACCCAAATTTAAATCGCTTCTCATATCAATATAGATCAGTCACTCTATTATCGATTATCTATCGATTACATGAGAATGTCAATGCAAGAACGCCATATGTGTACCTACTAATTCTTATATCGAAACTCTACAATAGTCTCGATAACATACATCTTAAAAGAAAAAAAGAAGAATGGAAGGGGAAGAGAGAGAGAGAGAGAGAGGGGGGAGGAGAGAGAGAGAGAGAGAGAGAGAGAGAGAGAGAGAGAGAG